AGACAGACAGACAGACAGACAGACAGACAGACAGAGATAGACAAACAGACAGAAAGACAGACATACAAAGCAATTGACTGATCTCTGCCTAGTTTTTCAGCCCATATTTATTTTTTATTGTTTCAGGATTATTGCTATCAGTACTGGGGAGATGAAAAGAAAACATTCGGAGACATGGAAATTGAGGTAAAAAAGACAGAAAGCTTTCCAATGTATGTGAGACGGCGTCTGGAAATACAGTCCACAAAGGTAAGCAGAGTCCTTCTCCTCAGCATGAATATCTGTGACGTCATTATCTGCAGACATATGAATCCGTTTTGAATCCTGTAACAGAAGACAGACGTCTTAGAGGTGGATCAGTACCAGTTCCTGAAATGGAAAGGCCGTGAGCTTCCGGAGAACGCTCAGGAGTTAATAGAGATGATAAGGGTCATCAGAGAAAACGGCAATTATGACAACAGCAGAATGAACCGGAACATCCCCATGGTGGTGCATTGCAAGTAAGTCCATCAACACCAGTTTGTTTTCCTGATAGACATGGGTGGATGGATTGATGGATTTTAAACTTCCGTAAACTTTCAATTCAGCAATGGATCGTCGCGTACCGGAATCTTCTGTGCCTTATGGAACCTCTTGGACAGCGCATACACAGAGAAGCTGGTGGACGTCTTTCACGTAATCAAAAACTTGCGCAAGGAGAGACAGAGGATTGTGGAAACAATCGTAAGTTCTTGCTTTGTTTATAAAAACAATATACCTTAGTCAGGTTAGATGCTATCTTGAATTTAACGCAGGTGAAAACAAGGCTGTGTGAGGGTTAAATTTGCAGCTTTACAATGGCACACACTGTATAAAGATCCTAGCTCATGTAATTTTTCTCAACCCACAACTTTAAAAACAGTTTTATGACGTTTTCATCAATTCAATATTTTGTCGGCTGACAACTCGGTATGTTTTTAATGGTACAATTCATTGAATGACTGAACTTATCCCTTACATCCTCATTTTCATTCCTGTCAAAAATTACATTTGGCGCTACCCGGACTAAGGTTTATAGAAGAGTGGAAAAACTTAATCATCTTGTACTTTCCTTAAAATACTGATCTGTACCATTTTGGAAGAAAAAAATAGTTTGGGATTTCCATTGTTACTGTAGAATATTTTATGACCCTTGTTTATCCTTTTCTATGATTTACACTATTCATATTTTAGCATGGGCTTATTCAAACTGTATATCTTTGCTAATGTTTGCTAATTGTGACCCTGGAGCACAAAACCAGTCTTAATTAAGTCGCTGGGGTATATTTGTAGCAATAGCCAACAATACATTGTATGGGTCAAAATTATCGATTTTTTTTCTTTTATGCCAAAAATCATTAGGATATTAAGTAAAGATCATGTTCCATGAAGATATTTTGTAAATATCCTTCCGTAAATATATCAAAACTTGCTTTTTGATTAGTAACATGCATTGCTAAGTACTTAATTTAGACAACTTCACAGACGATTTTCTCAATATTTAGAATTTTGTTTTTTTGCACTCTTAAGATTCCAGATTTTCTAATAGTTGTATCTCAGCCTATCCTAACAAATCATAGATCAATGGAAAGCTTATTTATTCAGCTTTCAGATGACACATAAATCTCAATTTCAATAAATCGACCCTTATGTGGTCCACGGTCACAAATGTGAAATCTTCCGCTTAAAGGTGACTTCAAAGATGTTTTAACACAAATTAAGTGTAGTTTGCAAATACATACCACATAGGCCCTACAAGTTCATAAACAATCCATGAACAAATCATATTAGTCTTTTGTTGCACGTTAAAATGCTTAAGTACTTCTAAACTCCTCACAGGAGCAGTACCAGTTCCTCTACACGGCTCTAGAGGGCGCTTTCCCGGTGCAAAACGGCGCCGTCAAGACGCCACCGGCAAACGACACCACGCAGGTCATCAACGAAACCACGGCGCTTCTCGACGAGCCCAACAGCCCTTCCGGTGCTGACCAGAGGGAGGCGGAAGAGAGCCAATCCGCAGAGAGCAGCGAGCAGGAAGCCAAGGAGAGCAGCACTGCTGAGGCTCCACCAGCAGAGGGAGAGAAACCCAGCACCACCAACGGCCCTGCCGCCACCGTAGAGCTTTAAGCATTTTGGGGGCTAAAATATTTTCGCCAATTTGACACCAAGTGTCAAGGAGTGATTTTTTTTTTAATGCTTTTGATTTCTTGTGTTACATTTGAGTTTCATTGTACATTAAATGTTAGATCCGAGTTTTTTGTGGAGAACTCGGGTTAGGATCTGACTGATCCATTAAAGCGTACGTTTCTGCCTCAGGTTTCGGTTTGGATTTTCTGTATAGGCTAATGATGCTGTTTGTGTGAAATCGGTGCATATTGATATTGTTTATTCACATGTGTAAAGGATTTGCTTTATGGTTTGATTTTTAGGCTATCAAATTGCGTTTTGAATGTATTTGTAATATAACCTTACAGACGATATTTTCTGGTTTTTTTTAATTATTATTTTTAGTTTGGAAACTGTATCAAAGCACAGCCTTATTGCATCTAAATTATAGTGCCTGAAATGTTTGATGGAAGTGAGTGTTTTTATGTTCGAGAACAACCAAAAAAATGGCAAAGATGATTTTGCACTACAGGGCTGTCATCAAACTGTCTTTCATTTCACAGTTCCCCCCCGATTCGCTTAATACGTATTTGACTTTAAGCAGATGTAACTTAACAAAAAAAGAATAAAGGATAGCTTGAACAATACAGCTGTTGTGTCTTACCTCGCTATAAGCTTCAAACAGGTGAAATAAACACGAGCAAAAGCGTGTCACTCGTCCTGATCCAGGTCAGACCCTCTTTATGGTTTTGTTAACCCGTTTGTGTCCTCGTCAGGTGCATGAACCTGGCCTAGAAAATGTAAATAATGTAAAACCAGAAGAATATGCCTATAACGTAACGAGCGTTTGTAACGCAAACATTAGCCACAAGATGGCGCATGCTAACAAAGAAGTAAACACACAGACACGTCCATCAAGCCAGTGTGCTTTTGGTATGAATAATATCACATTTGAATTAAAAATATGTTTGTGATGATAGACTGATGTAAAGAAAATATGTCAGTTATTTTCACTATAGAGGTATTTAGGCTATAGGCTAATAAAAATATATAATTATGCATATAATTTGTGAATGCAGAAATGCAAGTGTATTTATTATATTTTTTTATTGAAAAAAATATTTCATACGATTAAAACAATTTTAATTACCTAAAAAATCTTTTAAAATGTCAGGAGATAAAAAATGTATATGTCAGAAGTTGTTTTATTGACTGAAATTATGGTTCGTTGGCTGAGGTCTCCAAAAAACGATTTGCCTCGCTTCATTTAATTTTCCCCTTTAAGTCAGTAAAAGAAAATGGGGCATCGGTGGCCCTGCAGTGATTCGGGAGAGAGACATATTTGTCTTCTCATAACACACTGGAATAAATAAATAAATATATTTTTGAAATCATATTATTTTAGGCCCAAATCCAGAGGCCGATTGTGGGTGAATCGTGAAAGGAGAATTTAAAGCTCACTATCTTTCTGTTTTTTATTGCTTAACCACCATAATTAAAAAAATATATACTAGCCTATATATATATATTTTTTTTGTTGTTTGTTTGTTTGTTTGTTTTTTTGTTTTGTTTTGTTTTGTTTTTATAGTTAGGTTTGGAAATAAAAATGTCGATGTATCAGAATGGCACCTTTCACTGAAATTATCTGATTATATCTGCAGCCATTTTGACCTTTTAACCGTAAACGTGTATTTGTTAAAGCTAAGCTTTGAACGTTATATTGGGCATCATGAGGTGAACGCAAGTGGCTTGTACAGTGAGCCATGTCTGTACAGGTCAAAGAGAGAAATCCTCTTTAAATAAATCATCAGTGAATCTGTGGAGCAGCATTTGCATTCAGCTGTCACATGTAACTCCACCCAGCCATGCAATTATCATACCATCTTTCATGCAACATTTGTGACTGATGTTTCCCTCTTTCAACTTACTGTTGTGTAAAAGTATCAGAATCAGGTCTCTGTTCTCTACAGTATGTTGAATAGGTTATATATGTGAAACTGCCCTTATACACTCTGTAATTAGTGTGTTGCTCTGTGACGGGTTTCTCCTCTAATTGAGCACTTCAAGCTCACACTAAATACAGCAAATTAATTCAGAGATGTTCAAACGTTCACTGCAGTTACTCGCTATGCATGTTAATATGCTATGACCATGCTGCATATCTGTAACTGGCAGAAAATGCATGAAATATGGGCGCAGGACTTTATATTTACATTTAACTCATTTAGCAGATGCTTTTATCCACAGCCACTTACAAGTTGTTGTTGTTGTTTCCGCTTTTATAAGGTATTTACGGCAACAACAACAAAAAAACCTGTTAGTAATCAAATAGTTTTGTATTAAATGTACTCAAATATTTGTACATTTTTATACAGGACACTACATAAGGAGATTTTGTTTTTGGTCTATAATCTCAAAGTCATTATAACATTTATGTTTTATTTTTGTATTTGCTAAACACCTTTATTTTTGTTTGTTTGTTTGTTTTGGATGGGTTGTGTTTTGTTTGTTTTCTTTTGTTTTGTTAGTCTGTAGGTGGATGAAACACAAATATGCACTTTAGAAACAAAAGTTTTGACTGATAAACAAAAAAAGTGTAAAGAAAAACAGCTTATTTTTATGCCACTAACTTGTTCGAACATGTTTGCCAAACATTCCCCCATTTGCTATTGGTCAAAAAAATGTTAGCCCCGCCCCTAAAGTCATGCTATTGACAGAAAGCTGCCTTTGAGTTTAACGATGCACATTAACTAGATTTTGTTCTTGCTCTTTTTTTTTTTTGTAAATTATTATCCTTAATATTATTTGTTTTTAGTTTTGGCCTTTTATCACTTTTTTACCTTATTTTTATATTTTGAACCAATACAATTTAGATTTGTTGTTGTTTAATTAAAATAACTCATACTCATGTTGCATTATCACAAAATGTTTTATCCCAAACTGAAATTATAAGAACATATTTATGGTTTACATGTACAATATGTGCATGATTTATACAGTAGGCTATACAATAAGATTTAGATTTTAGCATAATAAACAGTGTTTTGAAATTACTACATTAATTATGCTTTTTTTTAAATGCCAGCATTTTTTTTTCTGTGTTTGTTTTAGGGTAGGCAGTTTGTCAGTTGTTCAGCAGTTTGTTTTGTGAGTCTGTGGTTGGATGAAAAACAAACAGCTCACATTCACATTAGAAACAAAAGTTTTGATTGAAAACAAAAATGTGTAATGATAAACAACTAGTTTTTTTGCACTAGTGTAAACAGACCAAATTTCAAAGATATTTGTTTTCAAACAAAGATTTCTGTTTCCCAAAAATACCCACATCCGTTACTGGTCGGAAAAAATAGTAGTCCCACCCCCAAACTCATGCTATTGGCAGAGATCTACAATAACAAGCTACAACCGGCCTGGTTTTAATTATATTTATTTATTTATTTATTTATTTATTTATCTTTCAGATAGTCAGACATTTTATGTTTGTTATTCCAAAAAGAATCACTTAAACCAGCCTGGGACATGCATTATACTCTTTGGACATATAAAGATTCATTCATTGATGGATATATGACTATAAATGTCCCGACACACATGTGGCTCCTACAGAGTCGTCCCGCTTCGGTTTCTGGCGAGACACTGAGACTGATTCAGACGGCCAGACCTCAGGTGACGCTCAGCTCCACAGCTGGAGACCCATAACATCAATAACGGCATCTGACTGTGGAGATGATGAGCAGCTCTGGGTCTGAGGGTCTGCACTTACACCTCATTTTACATTCAACGAACGAAGTGACCCGAGAAGCCAGCGTAACTCTGTTTCCATTGAGAGATGGCATGATGGAGCTCGCTGTGAGTATGTTTTGGGGTTTGTGAGCGAGGTGTGCACATGACCGCCCGAGACGGCCCAGCCCCAGACTGAGTATTCTAATGCAAACAAGGTCTCTCAGCACACAAAGAGGCTACATATCTCGTACAAAAGATGTGTTGAGCCCGTACACAACCCACACAGTGTCCAATGTCCTCATACAGTCATGTTTTGTCTCTCTCTCAGTCTGTATGAGTCTTGAGTGGTACAGGCCTGGAACAATGAGGAATTCACACACACACACTTAAACACACTGGGGGGGTGTTTTCGTCTCTTCGGGTCATGTTTGGTGTAATGTGTGAATCCAAGATGAGGTTTTCAACATATTTCTGATATCTGTGTCCATTTTGTGCAATTTAATGTTGTATTCATTATTTACGTACTTGTAAATGCATCCCACACATTTTCTACAAAAAAGCTATATCTATTTCTTATTATGTATTTGTTACTTGCAACATTTTGACGTTGTTCGACATTTGTTTTGGGAGTAACATGCAAATGTCATGGTAAATTAATATGGCAACCATTCAGTGCTACAGCATTTATAAAAGTATCATGGTAAAAATGCCTTTTTCCCTTGGATTTTTATCATGGTAAAATCATGGCATTTTGATGAAGTACCATGGAGTACTGTGTAAATATTATGGTACATGAATATGGCAAATATTTAGTATGTATAAAGTGCTATAGTATTATGTTTCATAGTAAATAGCCCATATAAACATGATACAGTATCATGTGTGGTAATATGATAAACCATGATTTTGTTTTGTTTTGTTTTTTTTGGACACAATAACATGGAAATACAATTTTTCTTTTTACATATTTTGTTTTGTTGTAATGTATAGTATCATGTAAACAACATTTACCATGATTGACAGCCATTTATTTTATTTTATAAATATTTTTTTATTATTTCGTTTTTATTATTTTATTTGATTCCATTATTTACCACTATCATTAATTTTTGCACATATGTAAAGTACTTTTCCATAAATAATTTCTTTCTAGGATATTTGGATTTATTTGCTTTTACATATATAATAGAATCTCTAAACAAATTCAGTGGCTTTTAGTGCTCATATGTGACAAAGCAATTACACAGTGTTCATATTATAGGCTAGTGATATTAAGATAATATTAAATAAAAAAAATAAACAAGAAACTACTCATACATAACGTAATTATTCTGTAACGGTGTAAATTAACAAACATAATATCAAATAACAATTAAAAATTAAACTCATTAATTCAACAATTAATTATAAATAATAGCAATTATAATTGTTTACAATAATAACAACAATAATTATCATTATTATTAGTATTAGTGTTATTATTGCATAAGATGGTCATGCATAATGTAAAGATGTGTGTTACACAATAGTGTAATCATTTTTGTTATGTTCCTTCCAGCCTGTACACAAGACCTTTTGAATTGAGTGTGGCTCACAGGACACGGCGGCAGTAAATGATACATGTGCTGGACTAATTCATGATTGTATGTGTAGTGAATGGGTGTGCCTGGCAGGGCCACTGTCCCAAATAACTGTGACGCTCTATTGCATGGCTCATTGTTGCGCGATAACACTGCGCCGGGACGACAGACGCCCCCGCCCCCTGGAACACCAATCAGATTCCCCATTTCCAGCATATAATTCCCCATGTAGGGGCCATTTATGAGGCATTATGGGAGCACTTTAAAATCTCATTAGACGGGACAGCTGCACTTCGATACTGCATGCTGCTTTAGCCATTTCTATTATTGCTGCTGGGGATAGCGCTACC